GGTCAACATCTGCCAGAAGCTGATCATAGAATTATGCTAAAGGACCTACAAATGCCTAGAGAAGTGTCTTCTTTAAGAACTTCCAGGTTTCCCAGCACAACTCTATGGTCAACTTCTGGCAGAGTTATGCTGGAGGACTTAAAGATTTCTAGAGAGAACATATTAATCAAAACTGCAAGTAATCAAATCTGCAAAAGTCAAAGCCACAAATGTGGAGAGCCAACTGTAATATTTAATTATTATTTTTAACTTTTGTAATCAGTGTTTTAGTTCTATTTTTTTAATCCTGTTTTTGGAAAAAGGAGGGATATAAACAAACAAAGAAACAAACAAATATAATCCAGAGAAGAAAAATAAACCAGGCAGATTTCAGAAATGTAGCTTCAGAGGAGTTTATGATAGGCATATATAAAGTTTGCTGTTTTTCAAAGAGCAAAAATCTTTTCTGAAAACTGTTGACTGTTAAGTTCTGACAGGTGATGTTGCTTACTTGGAGACAGGTTTCTTTTGCTTTATTCTAGCAGCAGTCTTGCTGCTCAGATTTAGTTACACACCATGAAGAACTAGAGGGTTCTGAGAGGATATTTTACCAGAAGTGCAACTGGTGAGATCCCCTTGAAGCACCCTAATTCCTGTTTAAGCATTGTGGTGATTTGGGCTGGTAGTGGAAATGTCCATGTTATGGGCCTATACTTTCAGTATTCCACAGTTGAATGCCCAAGTGTCTTGGCAGGGAATAGAGACAAGCCGAGATCCTATTTAACCCCACCAGAATAAAAAACTCTACCAGTATATTTATGCAGGAGATCTGCAAGGGTGACACCTGCTGCTGGACAGTGGCGCAAGGGAGCTTTCCTGATGCATCTCCTCCAGTCAATCAATGGTTGTTTGGGTCAGGGCAGAGCTGGTGCTATAATGTGATAGCATCTTAGCCTTCTCTATCAAATAACTCTGGTGTTACAACAAACTACATTTCCCAGGATTTCCTAGCACTGAGCCAGGACAGTTAAAATGGTCTCAAACTGGATTATTTCTACAGTGTGTTTTGGACCATAGACTCATAAACAGTTCATTACTCATACTGACAGTGGAGGCAAACCAAGGAGTAAACTAAGCTAACAAGGCAAAATGTTGGAAAATTAAAAGCAAAAGACTCACAGAGCCTAAATTCAGGTAACAGTCCAAACCCTCACCACAGCTTTCAGTGATCATCTACAAACAGCCAAATCTCATAGATTACAAAGATATAATTGACAATATAATTTATGTGGCAATATAATTTCTTGTTATCTCACACAATCCCTCCCCATAAGCATTGTGGCTGGAGAGTGTTTGTAAAGAGTCTTGCCCCAATTTATGTTAGAGCTGTCAGTTAAGAAATGCCGGTCCCGCCTGGCCAGTTCACAATACCTTTCTCTTTTTCTTACATGACTTTTTCCTCACCTATTTTTGAGGTCAGTATCTCCACATTGCATTTAACTGCTGTTGACTGTGCCATTTTACTCTAGAACAAACTTTGACCAATCTGATTTGATTCACATTTAGTACAAACAGGTTTGAATTGACCCAGTTGTCTTTGGAATTGGGTTGAATAATTGGCACAGTCCTCATTCTTAGGCTACAGTGTTGACTAATACTGTTCTTTTGCTTTAAAAAAAAAAGCATATATGTCAATGGATTTTACTCCCAGGTAAAATATATATACAATTTCTGTGTTACTGGTTTACTAATGGCAAGTTTCATTCAGAGGTATTGACACATTTCAGCAAAGCGTTCCACACAAACATATGCTTGATTTTAGCCAAAGACTGTCCACTAGAGGGCCACCAGTGCACACACATTCATATGTGTGTATCACAGAACATGCCTTGCACATCAATACTTATTTCCTTGGCTTGCATCACAGAATTAAGTCATGGGATTTAGCAGTCAGGGCAGGGACTGTTTCTGGGCTACAAATGTGTCTTCTCTCATATTCCAGATTATTTGGCAACCTCCCTATGGCCTTTTTCATAAATAGACCAGAACCAGCTCCAGTTTGAAGAGGTTCCACCAGGTCAGGTAGCTTCTGCTGAGTAGTCAGTTTGGCCATAAAAATCTAGGTAATTTCTTGTGTCCAAAGGTTATATGTCACTCTTCCACAGCTCTCGCTGAAAAGTGCTGACCCTGAAATCACTGTCACCGTCAGCTTGTTTGACCATGAATATCACTACATCTTTCATAATCTGAGCATCATGCTGTATCTTTATTCCCTTGCTTTTACTAGAAGCTGGCTACATTTTCTTTGGTCCTCTATTTTTTCTTTGTACCTTTTCCCACTAGTTCTTCTTGCACATGAGCATTAGTTATCTGGCTGTTTTACTTGCCCCTCCCATTCCCCCATTTTAAACAATCACCCATCTAAAGCTAATAGGCTCTTATTATTATTGAAAAATCCCAAACTTCATTTTCTCCTTTAAGTCCAATTTTGACTGAGATGTCTTGGGTCAGGTAACATATCTTTCTGGATATCACAACACAATGATAATGCTGATGTTCTAATTATGATAATGCAGAGGAAAGTCTATCTTCCAATGGTATCTGAATACAATGCTAAATTTACATAAGGCATTTGTATTCATTTTCTTCTTTCGTTTCTGCTGTGTATATACTGACAATCTAAGCCAGGGGTAGGCAACCTAAGGCTTGGGGGCCAGATGTGGCCCCCCGAGGCCTTTGGACCGGCCCCAGGCCGGTCCTGCCGCTGCCTGCCACCATGACATTGATTATTGTTGTTATTACTTGTTCTTGGGGTTTTCTTGGCAAAATCTCCACAGGGGTTTTGCCATAGCTTTTCTGGGGCTGAGAAAGTGTGCATGCATTTTTCTTATTTTTTATTTATTTTTAATTTTTATTTTTATTTATTTATTTTTTGTGCTTTGGCCTCTCAATTGTCTGAGGGACAGCAACCCGGCCCCCAGCTCAAAAACGTTGCCTACCCCTGATCTAAGCAGACTGGATTAAAATAGAAATCAGTAGGAAAGAACTAATTTAAGCCCTATTTTGACTTCTGGTTTAGTTAGGCTTCTGTCTAAATATGTCTAACTATGAGATAAGTCTGGATCCAGCCTATAGTCCATGGTTTCTTTTAAATGACCTATTTTCTAGACTGCTTTAAGTTAAATTTATGTGAACAAAACAATACATACAACTATTTTCATCCACAGGTTACTAGAAAAATGTGAGTTTAGTTCAGACATTGCTATTAAATCTGTGCTCAGGTTTGGACTGACTCAGACATTTCCTGTTCTGAGTTTTGTTATAGAAACCTGCATACCTCTTATAGACCAGAAAGTACTTTATGGTTGCCTATTCATATGCAATGACACCGTTATTTGGCTGTTTATGGTGGCATCATTTTCTATGACTCTGTAAAAGGGATATGAAGTTAAATAGTTGTAGTAAAGATGGCACATGGTCTGTGTAGCTGATCATAAGACAGATAACTGGCACTATTTTGTTGTCTGCCAGAAGCCAAAGCAAGAGTGTTGTTACTATTAGGTATTAAATCAATGCCATGGGGAGGGATTTCTTGTCAGTGACTTTTCTCATTGCCATGCTGTGTGTTAACTTTTTCCTGAAAATAATTATGAAAATAATTAATTTACAGAGACTGTTGCTCCAGGCCAGGTACATCCAAACTTGGGGGGGAAGCAGACAGGCGGCCCTGGGCCACCCTGGGGAGCTGTGCCGTGGGGCCGAGGTATCCCCACACCTCAGCCCCGCGGCGCAGCTTCGCCGCCCCTGGAAGGAGCGCTAAAATAGCGCTCCTTCCACAGGTCGCCGAAGGTGCGCCACAAAAGCCTGGCGGCACACCTTCGGTGACTCTTCTGCCGCAGCGTGTGCAGACGCTGCAGCGGGAAGGCATCGTCGGAGCGCCAGCCATGCAGAGGGGCCGGCGCTCCGACGATGCCTCCAGGAAGGGGTTGGGGCGCCCACCGTGTGGCTGCCCCTCCCCTTCCTTGCCCCCAAAATGGCCCTTTGTGCTGTCTGCTTCCCCAGTTGCTTTATTCCACTTTTACCTGATAGTATCACCCACAAAAATTGAAAATCATGTGATATGTCATCTGTTATATCATAACAATTGTCTTTAAAAAGAGACAGCATGATCAGTCTTTCTGTAAGACAGAGTGACTTATATTATTCCTTTGATCTGGCATCATTTAGAAAACCAAATATGAACAGGAAACAAATAGTAGACTTTTGATCAAACTTGGATCAGAGGAAGAGATTATGTAGAAATAGGGGTGGGAACAGATATATTAAGAAAATTAAATTCATAGATGGATGAAAATTTAACAGTAGTGAATATACAGTGAATATATACTTCTAGACAGAGGGACAGAGGGCTGTTCCTGCTCAAAATGATAATATATTGTACAGCTATTCCTTTTTTGGGGGGGGAGGGGAGAATAATTTTTTTTCCTTTGGATAGAAAAAAAAGGTGGAACAAAAAAAAGGGAAAATTTAAGAGTATTGCAAATGGAAGACAGTGATGGTCAGACTTCCCTGTTTCCATAAATGAGGCAGTGTAAGCACCCTAGAGGTACAACCACTTTTACCAAAGCTAGAAGTACATATTTTGTTTTAATTAATAATCAGTTTAATATGGTTTTAAGGGGTGGGAGGGCTGGATGGGTATGTGAATTGTTTTATCCTCTGTATTTCCTGTATTTTAACTGATGTAACCCGCCCCGATTGCTCCGCAGAGGGGCGGGCTATAAATAAAATTTATTATTATTATTATTATTATTATTATTATTATTATTATTATTATATTTTCAAAGAGATCTGATTGTTGAAAATGTATAGCTTCTTTGGGGAATCTGAAATCACAACAAATTATATTAAATCTTTATGGGGGAAATTGGTAATCATTCTGTTGGGCAACACCAGTGGCTTCAGTATTGTTTTTTTATAGGGGTTTTGATTCCACTCTCAATTTTAATGGCAGCCAGAGAGCCTGCATGATATAGTGGTTTGAGTGTTAGACTGTGACTCTGGAGACCAGGGTTCAATTCCCTGCTCTGTCATGAAATGCACAGGATGACCTTGGGCGTGTCACACACTCTCAGCCTCAGGGGAAGTCAATGGCAAATCTCCTCTGTCAAGAAAACCCTGTGATACGTTCACCTTAGGATCAATATAAGTTGAAAACTACATGAAGGCACACAACAACAACAGCTCCTAAACTTCAAGTATAAACAGATCATGTGTTATGAGAGCTATCCAAGTGCTGAACCTATGTTGGGAATAGAATTCAGCCCCTGGATAGTTCTTGCAACAATTGGATGGTGTGCTTAAACCTGGAGGAGTTCCAGAGTAGGCTGCTATTAAAACCAAGAAGGGAAATATACTTCAACTAGCAAACAGTGCCAAGAATATGAGCTTAAGTATGAAACAAAGGATCATACATTGTGAAGGCATGGGAATGAGGAGCCTCTGGGCAATAGTGAAGAATATCCCTTTGGATGGAGCAGGCTACACTGAAGATATTGTCAAAAATTCTGCAACGAATATACATCAGTGTGTTAGGCAAAAGGATACCTCTGGCTTCCAATATGTTTCTGATGTCAATTCAAAGTGTTAGTTTTGCCACACAAAACCCTAAATAGCTTGAAGCTAGGATATCTGAAGGAATGTCTTCCATATGATTCTACCCAAAAATTTTATATCCTCCACAGTGGAGCTGTCACTACCTTGGGAAAACAAGTTGGTGTGTACACAAGTTCTATATAACACATCTTGGTTATAGAACTCCCCTTATAAATGTCATTTTGGCTCAATCCCTTTTGAGATTCTAAAGGGCATGTAAGAGTGTACTGTTCTACATGGATCTGAACATCAGGGATGGACTTTGGTACTTCTTTAATTATACATGTTTTTTAAAACTTTTAAAATTATTTTGGGTTGTATATAAATGTTTTCATCTGTTGTATGTTCCTTCAAAGATTCTAGCAGGATGAAAGGCAATGAACAAATATTTAAGTAAGTAAATAAACGGATAGGGACCACGAATTTCCATTGGAGATGGTTTTAAAGATTCTCCAGTGAATATCACTGTATCACACTGTGATCATTACAGAACTTATAGCTAATAAAAGTGCACTATCTAAAGAATACCTTTGCATTTCTGTCTCTGATGTACTTGCAAAAGAAGTCAAGGAAAGCAAAATGTCTTTGGTGGATAGGAGACTGCTCTCTTTTTCTTCCCTTAATAAATCAGTGTTAGAATAGCACACAGCCCATACATTGTAATAAAGATTGCAAGAGGATGGGAGAGATGTTAACATCCTGTCTTCTTAGCCAATCAAGACTCATATAATTTGGGCTGAAAATGAAATGATGACGAAGATACTTGAATCTCTTCTACCAATGCCTAACTTCTTTTGTGGAAGAATTAATTTATTAATTTCCTCAGTACAAGGAGAATTGGTAAGACTTGATTTACAATTACTTCTCCAAATTAATCCTCAGTCTAAAATAATTTATTTGTATCTAACAGAAACTACTGACATAAATAAATAGTAACCATTCCCCATGGAGGAAGAGGAACAGAAAATGAATGGATGAAGCAGAATCAGAAAATAAGATTTTAATATTCACAATGTAAATTTAATACTATATGTGACTCTCAAGGACAGGATTCTTCTTTTATCCCATTTAGAAACACAAACATCATGGAACACTGCAATACATGCTCTACATGTTGTTACGGGGAAGACAGAAAATAGGAAGAAGTCAGCAAGGAGCAACCAAACATTTGAAGAGCTAGAGAGAGGGTGATTTATGGTGCATAATTTAAATAAACAAGTTTTGTAGCTTGGTTAAGCAGTGACTAGAAAGGGTGGATATAAGAAGGTGAGAGCTGTTGGGTGAAGGATTAGGAGAAAAGTATGTAAATATCAGATGTGGGCACACTTAAAGAAGTGAAAAGACAGGTAGTCTAAAACAGTTAATGAGATTTCAAACTGCAAATAGGAAATAAAGACTGGTGCTCAGAAAATAATGAGTTAGCCCAGCACTATATTGCTAGTTTTGTTCATTTTCTGATGCTGCCTTTCTTTCCAAGAGAACAAATGGGAAGGCGTAGCAAAACACATGTTTTATGTCGTTATGATCACACGTTCAAATCCAAGCATCTCCAGTAAAAAGCAGATCAGATAGCAGTCAACAGAAAAGATCTGCCTGAGACCTTGGTAAAACACAACCAGTAAGTACTATTCCCAGTCAGAGTAGACAATACTGTACAGATAAATGTACAAACTAAGTGCAGCTTGCTATGTTTCAGTGCTTTGACCCTTGAAACATTTACAAATACACCTTATCATAGCTGTTATACTGGCATAGTTGCAGCCAAAAGAAGTAGACCAGACTTATCCTGCAGTGCTGAATGGTAGTTTGCAATCCCCTTATGAATATACTTCCCACCACAAAGTTTTGTCCCTGTACAAGCTGATTGTAGCAACACAAATGCTCTCATGCTTGCCATGAAGATTAGTTGTCACTGCTCCAGCCCCATATGAATGCTGAGTCACACAACATCGTTGTACAACACCACTGTGGCACACAGTAACACCACAATGATCTGGCACAGCAGTTAGCTCAAACTGCAGGTCATGACTTTGCACTGATTTGCCAGCAGAGGGACTCATCATAGGATTAGGATTAAAAATCTGCAGTTTGCAGAAGAGAAGGTCCAAATAACCACTAAGAGAACACACAGTTTGGAGAAATCAAAAACATAAGAAAAGCCAAACAGAGCTGGTGGGTATTCTCAACAATTTTTAAACTATTAGTGTCCTTTCAGATTCATGCCATTAGCAATCACAGACAATGATTCTTGCAGATAAACCATTATATCTGTACAAGACATAATCCAAAGCAAATAAAAGTATCCCTTTTGATTTCAGCAAGTGTGACTTTCATTCTGTGGCTATTTTCCAAAGAAAAAGCCATAGCATGTGCAGTTTAGAACAAGTGTCTTACATGGTAAAATGTATCTTGAAAGAGCATGGAAAAGTTACTTCTTCAGACTAGAGTTCCCAGAATCAGTCAGTTAGAATGGCCACTGACTTTATTTATGGAGGGTTCTGAGGTCCAAAACACACTGCAAAAATAATCCAGTTTGAGACTGTTTTAACTGCCCTGTGTCAGTACTAGAGAATCCTGGGAATTGTAGTTTATTGTCGGTGGCACTAGAACTTTCTGACAGAGAAGACTAAATGTCTCACAAAACTACAGTTCCCAGAATTCCCGTCTTGAGCCAGGGCAGTTAAAGTGGTCTCAAACTGGATTATTTCTGCAGTGTGTTTTGGACCTATGATTCCACTTTAACTTTCATGTCTGCATCCTATGGCATCCTGGGGCTTGTTCTTGTTGAGACACTAGAATTCCCTGGTTGAGAATCCTAAATACTCCTCCCTATACTACAAATTCCAGGATTCCACTGGATGGAACCATGGCAGTTGAGGTGGAATCTTAGCATTATAATTTTGTAGTGGAAAAGTGCCCAAGGAGTGGATTTCATGGAAGCACTTTAATAATAATAATAATAATAATAATAATAATTTATTTCTTATATCCCGCCTTTTGCCTAAGCAATCAAGGCGGCTTACAGATATACAATACAGATTTGAACTTTGTACAGTTTCGAGGGAATGTTGAAATGGTGATGAAGATAATGACTTTTTTCAAGATCCCCTGTAGAAGATAAGGCTATTAGTGGCTACCAATTATAATGCTATATATCACCCCCAGCAAAAGTATACCAATTGCTGTGGGTACAACTGCATCCACATCCTACTTCTGGGATCCCATAGGCACCTGGCTGTATACTCTGGGAACAGGACACTGAACTAAAAAGGACTTTGATTTAACCCAGCATGACTCTCCTTATGTTCTGTAGTTCTTTACTCTCCTTTCTTAGGACATAACTTTTTAAATCAGTTCCTTCCTCAACCAGGTATACAAATACATTCTCAGCCTTCTCTATCCATGCACTTCCGCATTGGCCATTTTAACCTTTCTCCCCAAGCACACTTTCTCTCACAATTTTTTTTCCTAGCTTAGATGTAATTAAGTTTTATTTGCTGCCTTTAGTCCTTTGCTGGGAGAAAGGCAGGATATAAATTGAATAAAATAAATGAATATATCTTCTTGTATAAAACATGTTATACATGCAGTCAGCAACAACCAATGCAACTTAAAAAAAATCAAAACACATCAGTTTAGGATTATCTCCTTGTCTACAATTGACAGTTAGCTTGATTGAACTCGAGAAGCCTTTAGACATTATTACTGCACTACTTTAGTCTTAAAGAGCATGTTGTTCTTTCTTAAACAAAAGGCATGTTGAAAGGAATGTTAATGTCACTTGTTGAGTTTACAATAGTATGTTTACCTGTATCCTATCTTCAGGAAGTTCTGTTTTCATAGCCAACATCTCCCTTGCATACACATCAGGATAATGGGCTTCATTGAATGCTTTTTCAAGTTCCTCCAGTTGGTAGGATGTGAAGATTGTCCTAAGGGAAGTAGAACCCATTGATGAAAATAAATGAAAGTGAATAAACTATGGAACCACCTTAAAAGGGTAGGATACCAAAGGAAGAGCTAAGAAAGTGAACCAAATTTGCAAAGGAGTGGTTCTACAGATAGTGAAATGCTAGGGTGAGGAAGTACCTTTGTATAAAACAAACAATTAACATGACAATTAAAAGCCCTCTGCTAGCTGATTCTTCCCTTTTTTATTTTGAAATCTGCCCCACATAACTTAAAGGAAGTGTGAAACAGGACAGTCCCTGTCCTGAATTGAGAATCAGTTCCTAATTATTTAAGTGGAAGAGTAAAGTATGTGTGTAAACCCCTGCCATTGAAATAAATGGGATCTTGGCTCGGGACTATGTACAAAATATATTCACAAATCAAAGGGTGAGATGGAAGCAAAGCTCTAACAAATAGAGAAATGGGATTGCTTAAAATGAAGCAAACAGAGAAGAAATTTAATTATTATTATTATTTTAAAGAACAG